GAAACGATCAGTTAAGAGGGCGTAAAAAAAACGAAGTTAAAACGGGTTCAGGTACTTCTCTGAACCCCCTCCACTAGGGGCCCTCCCGGCTCTCTCTAGAGCTCCTGATTTTCCCACAAACATACAACCACACACCAAAGGACTTGCTAATGCTACCACACCAGAACGCCCCGGTCGTTCAATCTACTGGGTCGTGGCATTTGTTGGCGAAGCTCAACCATGGCGCAAATCACAGGCATTTAACCCACAATTTCCACCCTGCTCTTTTTATGCCCAGTGCAAACACCTCGTCGCGCGAGTATCTCGACAGGGCATGCTCGCGTTTCTTCATCAATCACTAGATGCGTTCACCGTTTTAAGTCTGAAACACGTCACACACTATACGACTTACACCTTGAGGTATTCCTGGAGGGTGGGCGGCTGCACGTCAAAGAACTGCGAAATCTGGTTGCCTCCGTTGAGGCAAGAGTGTATGTTGGAGAGCAGGGTAGCCACTAGGTACTGCTTGCCTACCGGGCTCAACAGGTACTTCTGCTGCGGCTTCATGTCTACAAACGTCCACTTGCTCGTCATCTCCTTGAAGCCCCACTCCACGGCCACCCTGCAGTGGCTCATACGCTGGTTGAAGTCGGCCATATCGGGCGTAAGTGGACCGTGGGATGAGGCACTAAAAGGGCAGGCGAGATGGTCGCTTAAACCGTATGCCGGGTCTCCATACAGGCAGTACGGGTGGCCAGAAGGGCTGTTAGAGTGTGTTGCCAGCTTCTGCATCAGTCCAGACTGCGCAAGCAAGTAACTGTCATGACGTGTGCCAAGCACAGGGCCCCACATGTCGACGAAGAGTCCATCAGGGGTAATCACGCCTTGAAACTTGATGGCATGCTTCCTCTTGTGGCCGTTGTAGTACCATCGTTGGAAGCGCACGGGCCTACGAAGAGTACAAGAACAAAAAGCACCGACACAACATGCGTTTGGCCGATGCAAATCCGGCGACATGATGAAAAGCTGGGGGGATTCAGCAGTCGCTCCATTTGAACCGTACGGAGAACGGGCCGACATACTGTTGCCTGGGTACATCACAAAATTGAACCTCACTTTGTTCGTGAGAGTCGGCGAATCGGTTTCTCTGCATAATAGTCTACTGCCGGTGTGCCCACCCCGCTTTAACTCCTATAGACCATTGAAAAAGCGGCAATAATTATTACACACACCTCGCAATGCCGCGGACGGTTCCGTCGATGAAGCCCCAGCAGTGTGTGAGAGGGCAATCCGCGTTGTAGATGGCTTCGGCGAACTCCACCAACCTCGGCTTCAGTCGCTCCACGTCGAGGGAGAGCAGCCAGCCCCATTTGAACTCGAGGAAGTGCAGCATCCAATTGAACGTTTCGCTGATGCACGACTCGCTCAACCCGAAAACCAAGCGCATGTCTTTCAGACGGCATGGAAACGCCAGGCGATACAGTAGCACGCAAAGAGCCTCTCGCCCACTCACGGCAAACCCACAGTCGGTTCGGATGAACGCAGGGATCAAGAGAAGATCCAGCATAAGCATGATCTGGAACGAAGAAAAAAGGAGCAAAGCAGTGTGGTGTCACCCTCTATCCGCCGAAGTCCCACGGCTTGTGCATTCAACACTTCTTCTATCGCTCTGCCGCTGCATACACACCCCGGGCAACATGTGGACAAAGTGTGTGGGGACAAGTGTCCCGGTGCCGTGTACTGGTGCTGCCTACATGCATGGTCTTGCAGCAGCACAGCAGTGTGGCGTTCTTCCAAGTGGGATACACACAGAGAACTGGGAAGCACCTACCTGCGGCTGTGTGAAGCGAAGAAAGTTGATGCAGTCTTGGGGGCTGAAGAAGTTTGTCACGTCTCGGCGTGCAACACGTGTTGCCGCATCGTCTGTAACAAGACTCGCCATCGTGTAGATGAAGGCCATGTTGTATGCCATCCACATGTCGGTGTAGGCCTCGAACATCTGTCGGCACTGCAAGAACACTACCGCTCGTGTTTTGCGCGCGATCCTCTCACGGATGCGCAGACGTGACATGGTGGGACCTGTAGCCAGGTTGAGGTGCGTGTGCTGGCTGCTGGTATCGTGTGTGTGTGTGTACCTCGCGCTCCCGGTGTCGGAGGGCCGCGCGTTGTGTGTGCGGTGGGTCTTCCCAGACTGTGACAATCAGCCAATCAGAGCACGTTTAGAACCCACGTCATAAAACGTCCCAGATTTCTTAAATCTGAGACTGTTCGCCACAGAATAATCTTCCCAGAACATTCCTAAACTAAAATCTAAATCTGAAACGCTCTTATATCTAACTTTTGTTCCGAAACTCTCTAATAATAACGCATTTTGATTTTGATTTTGTGCCCAGTTGGATTTGGATTTTTGGCTCTTCGTTTATATTCGTGCTGACACTGTAAAGGAACAACAGAACAAATCGCGAACAAGCGATTTTCACACACGTGTTCCTGTTCTGCGATGCGAAGAACCTCACCAGCGAGACAGGTCGGGCTTGAACGAGAGCCCCGGGAAGGGGCTGCTACATACAATGCCGCTGTAGTTTCTGGAGTCTCGGCCAAGACGAGCACCAACGCCTCGTCGCACACACCCTGCGTATCAATGAACACTATCGTTGGGTTCCCTCGGTACCGCCGTGAGTGACGTGCCGCCGTGCACCCTGTTGGTGTCCTCGTCCGAAACAGTACTACGGATAGGTCTACAAAGTCCGTGTCTCGTTGTCGACACTGCTGTTAATCCGTTGGTCTCGCATGATCAACGCCGCAGGTAGTTATTCAATCAGATCGACACGCCGTGAGACTCGGCCATACGGCCAATCGTGACACAGACACTCACACCTCTTGTTCGTTTCCTCGCTGCTTCGCCCGCTCCAGCTGCTGACTGCTATTGGCATTACATGTGAGGTCCGTCCTCTCACCATCAAGGGAGGCTGGGTCTACGCAGAATTATAACTTTTAAATTTCACACCACCCCCGTGCCCCGCCCCCGGTGCCCTGCTCCCTGCTCCATCACCCATACACCGTCCACCATACATCCATACTGTGGCATGCGCTAGTCGTGCTGTTGGCTAACCACAGGTTCACTTCTACGCTCTCATCGCAGCGCTGCTTGGTCTCGGTAAAACGGAGCAAACCTATGTAGATCGGCGCTGGATGACATCGAAACTGTACGCACCCAACCGTACGAGATCATCGGGTGTCCTGCTCCAGGGGACTAGCGGGGGCGGGTTCAACCGCAACCACGCCACACGCTGACTCTTTCGTTCGCGCTCGTCCATGGAGCCCAACAACAATGCCAACACCAAACCGACAGGAGGAAGGTCGCCGGCGGGGGTCTATGGAGTCTTGGCCGAGCCAGCAGAGCTGTCGGTGATGCGGGTGAACCAGCTGGATGCCGGCGTGCTAGATACGGAGCTGCACAGCTTGTTGAAGACTCAGCTCGGGCGAGCCTGTTCGGGGCTTCCTGCGGGAACGCTGGAACGCTTCAAACCCGAGGTAAGGCCGGTGGGCAGGACCTAACCCGACTACAGAACGGCGTATGTGTCTCTACTTCGTGTCCCCGTCCGTGTGCTCTCGTCTAAGGGTATGCCCCGCTGATATTCAGCGTACATATGCACATGCTGTACATCAGCAGTATATACTCGAGCATTCAACAAGGAACTTCATCTTGCACAGCCCTGGCACGTAATAGGGTGGCCACACTGCTGTACGAATAGTGAGGGATGTCGGGTGAACCAACGAGCGCCGTGACTCATAGCACGTTGTATTATGCACGAGAGAGAGGGAGAGAACGACACACCACGGATTTGCAATTAGCTCCTGTTACCCAACATACAGCCAGTGTGCATGCTCTTCCAGTGTCAGAGGCCCCGCAGATGGGAGTAACGACCGAGCGCACCAAACAGCACTATAGGCCGGCATTGTCACCCTTCACTGCGAGTGTCCTACTCCGCATATGCATAACTACATCGTCGGTGGTTGTATGATCCGTAGTTGCTGGCGTGTCTCATGCGTTATGTTACGCCAAAGAGCAACCGGTTCGTCAAACGGTGCAAATCAGCCACGATTTTAGATTTGCACGCTACAACCAGGCCCTAACCTAACCTAGGCACAAAAGTAGTCGGTGTTAGGTAGAATGGGTCGTCGTATTGTCTCGACCACGTGGGACAAACCGACCGAGGTTCACACAGAAGAAGTCAGGACTTCTTCAACGAAAGACGGCGGTTCGTGCAGCGCTACATCATGAAAGAACCGGATTGCTTGGTGGGGTTTTGCACCCACGAAAGGCATAGCGGCTGCTGTGCGCAAACGCTCCAACCTCACTGCCGGCTGCTCTGCGCACACGCTCCAATCTCGCTGCCTATACTTATTGCCACGCACACGCACGGAAACACAATATCGCTGTTTGTACTGAAGGCGCAATTTTATTGTGCAGTTGCTGCTGCTCCACCGTTCGCCGCCCAGCGCATCCGCTCGTTGCTGCCCCTCCTCCCTCCGCGGTCGCTTCCCTGCGGTGCACCTAGTATTCGAACACACCTTTCGACACTTCCTTCGCGGCGGTGGCATTACCTCGGCCACGCACGCGAAAATACCCATGCTGCAGATAGCGCCCATGCGACAGATAGCGCCCATGCTACAGAAACCTCTTAGATTTGGCCCGAGGCTGAGGTTCTTACGGTACCTCCTCTCGTGGGCGACAAAAGGCCGCTCTATACGAAGTACTTGTAGCTCTTTTGTGGAAGGGGTTTTCACCTGGCTCACAAAAGGTGCTCTTTTGAGTTCTTCGAGGCTATGTCAGTTTCTTAACTGACAAGTTCTGTACAGCAAGTGGCAACGTTGTAGAACATGTGCAACAAGGAAAAATGGGGAAGCCAGATGTTTGAAGATGTACATCTGTTTTGTTCGGGACCGACGGTAACTCATGGACGATAGTAACGGCGCATGCTAGTTACGGGTCCACACACCCAAGGCAAGCAACCCCCCCCCACTTCACCCCCTTCTAATGTACCCCGTCCGTGCCCGTTGCGTCGGCGGGGTTTCAGGTGGACGCTCTATTCAACCTGCTGATGTTCCGCTTCACGGTCTGGGTGCACCGCCCGACCCCGGGAATGCACCTGCAGGTGCCGTGTTGCTTTCCATTTGTACTTGAACGACTTCTTCTTGTCTGTTGCTTTTGTTTTTTGTTTTGTCTTCTGTTTTCGTGATATTTCTATTTTAGAAAATAAGTGTACGATCACGCAATGACTGCCCGTTCGAGATAATACATTTTTCTGCGGAATCGATGGACCCTTGCATGAACCGCACGGGGCTTGTAGCTCCACCTTTGCTTTATGTTACCTTGGAGCTCGACCCCGTCTGTCAAACTTTCTTTCGGTCTTCGGCATTTTTTTTGTCCTTTTTCTGTTATGCTTATTTTTGGTGTTTGTTCCCAGATTTCAGGACAGCCTTCTCTAGAAGGAATCACCAAATGTTGTTACAGCCCAGCGTTCGGTCTCTCGTTTTTCTTCCACTCCTTTTTTGTGAGCTAAAATTTTTGTATATGTCCAGCATTCCATGTACCTTCGTCCTCCTATCATATGTTGCCCTTGTGGCAAACCTCCACAACGCCGACCCTTCCAGGGTCTGAGGTACCGTAGCGAGCGCGGTCGAACCGCGGGGGCCCCTTCCGCCACCGCTACAGGCGGTTCTGCTGCTGCTGCTGCTGCTGGCGGTTCTTCTCCGCTCGCGTCGGGGTGGGAGGGGGGCGAGGGAGGGGCGTTGGGCCATGGGGGGCCTTCGAACACACCAGGTGCTAAGACCATATGGTGCCACCGAATCGCACGTTGATGGCGATAGAAAGGGGTCAGTGTTGGTGCGTTCCCCCGGATAGAATTCAACAACAACTTGCGATACGAGACGTTGGGGGCCAGGTCGAACAGAATACAGAAACGGGCCCGCAGTTACGAAATATCTCGTGAAGAAACAGAACAGATGCTCGAAATTTTCGCGAAAAATCAGAAAGTAGGGTTAAGAAACACAGGTTAGCGGTGGATCCTGCACTAAACTCTACTGAAGTATGATAAGCTGTGCTCGACAGCGGTAGCGAAACAAGAAACTGAGTAGTGGCGATGAAATAAGAAGCAGAGCCTCGACCCGACTTTGACGTTTCTTATCTCCGGGCAGGCCCGTTATGCAGACTAGTTCCCCGAGCGGATTATGCGTGGTAGGTTGTCGTCATCATTAGTTGGTGCTGTCGTCGTTGTCGTTGCTGTTGCTGCTGTTGTCGTTGTTGTTGTTGACTTTCATGTTGGAACCCGTCCTTACCCCCCGATGCGTCCACAACATATGTACCGGTCCCTCACAGATTCGGAGTTCTGTGGTAACACGCTCGCCGGAAAGAGGTGCAAAGTAGCAACGAGAGAGTTGAGCGTGGTAGTCAGGTCAACAGGCCAGGGCTCTTCGCCTCACCCACCTATCCGTCTGTGGGTCTGCCTCCCTCGTGTGGTTGTGTGTTGGGACAGACGAAGTGAACCGCATGCCGGAAAGTGGAAGGCACCTTGGGGTTACTCACATGCCGATTACACCTAGATGTGGTTGTGTTTCTCGCAGTAGCATCGACCACGCTAACCGACTGACCAATGAAAAGACGTCGCTCTTATTGCGGGATAGAAGCACGCTTTCTATTTAATGGGTTCTACGGACAGGGGGGGGGCGCAGGAGTTGGACGATACTGTAGCGATTCCTGCTTTCGGAGTACAGGGGAAAGACTCAATGCCACCAGGCAGCACTGTGTGTATGCGTGTTTATTCATTTGGCGTCGACGTCGCTGTGCTCGGCTAGCCTCTCAAAGGGCGGCAACAGCAGTAAACTCAGCGGGATACGGCACTAAATGCCTGCCTCAAGCCTGCGCCGGGGGGCTCAGGGGAGTTTTTTTCTTTTGGGAGGGGGGGGGCGAGGCACTGCCGCCCGTACGTTTTTCTCCGAGCTTCCCCGAAAAGAGATTTCTCGTATGCATACACCGAGTAGACCATAATGTACACTTGAGTGCCCTCATGAAACCGCGGCAGCAGCCAATAGCGCTACTCCAATGCCGCTATTTAGTGCCCGACTGTTTGCGTGTGTGGAACGCACAACACGCAATGGAAGTACAAGAACGTCCCCGCCCGATCACACACACACCACACCCCCTCGCGCGTGCTCGGGTTTCCACAGAAGGGGGCGCGTCGTCAACATCGACTTTCCCGGGGTTGGCATCTACGGCGCCCCTCCCCTGCTGGGGGGACGCCGCTCCCACCCGGGCGCAGCGCCTTGTGCACGGGCTGCTTAGCGTCGGCGTGCAGTGGGGGTTTGCGAGGCTGCGGCGGCATGGACTGGTCCACGGGTGGGGCGGGGAGGACGCGGTGAGTGTTCCACTCGGGCGACGTTTTATTTTTGTCTCTCACGAGACGGTTTCAACATGCCCAAGCAATTAGTGCTGTTGACACCAACGCCAATCTACACTGCTCTGCAGGCAGACCTTGTCTATTGTTCACATAGTCACAAGATCGGTAGGTGTCATCTCTCATCACGCGATTTCCCGCACGGAAAGAGGCCCGATTGCTGTCAAAACCACCTCCAATATGCATTGTGCAGACGATCTGCTTAAACCTTGATTTTTAGATAATGTATTTGTGATGACAGAACTGCTTGCCGTTGGAGATAGGATCCAGTTGTTGCTTTTGGCTTTAAGGCCTTCTCTTCCAGCTAATTTATTGAATATATAAATGCGAAATCACAGAAATATTTGCCACCCTTCGAGATAACACCCCCATTGTTTGCTGTTTGGTTCTCCTGCAAGCAGGGGAGTGTTCGCCGAGTGGCCTGGCATGTCCTGGGTAGGCTGGAGACTCTGTTTCGCTTGGCCTGGATGGTGAACCTGCTGCTTTTCCTCAAGAGCGGCAAGTACGCTACGCCGGTGGACCGCCTGGTGCGGATGCGCATGGTGAGACGAGACGCGAAATTGACGGCCGTGGTGTGTCGTTAGCTTTTGCTCACATGGCATCTCCGTAGATATCTTCGTTGGTAGCCGTAGATGCCTTCCTTGGTGTCCGTAGATATGTACCTTCCTTTGTCTCCGTAGATGTCTTCCTTGGTCTACGTAGATACCCGTTGGTTGGTATACGTCCATCGCCGTTAAAAGGTGTGCCGATTTCTTTGCCTGCACACATGCATACGTACGTACATGTGCATATTGTACAAATCCGACTTTTTTGGTGGCTATGTTATTTTTTCTCTGGTGGGACAATGTTGTTTCTCACACTTTCTTCTGCGTGGCACTCAGAGGACCCGTCGGTACATTACCCGTTACGTATGGGGCTCGCGAGACATGGGTGGTGCGTGATGGCCGCTGAAAAGTCGCTGGGACTGGCTCTATTTCAGGGGCTGCGGATCCGAACAAAAAAGCCTTCAGATATAGCGGGGTGTTTTCCTCTTTGGCGGTGTGTTTTTTTTGTTGAACGTCGTGTCTTTTCCACCACGAGGGGGGTGGTTCTGTGCGGAGCAGAGTGTTTTCGTCATGATGATTTTTTCTCGTTTCGTTGGTTGAGAACATTTACGGTATTGAAAGACCAGCACCACACATGGTACATTTCAACTGAATCAAGAAGAACAGATCCCCCCACGAACGTTCAACACCCTTGGCATCCGTAGCAAGTCGATGAGTTTTGGTGGCAGCGGAGCGCTTTTTTTTTCTTCAACTCCAGCACAGTTTTCTTTCTTGTGCAGTCCCTCGTGTGCCGCAAACACCGTGGTTGTCAACCACAGATGTACCAGCGGCTTTTCATGGCTGCAAAGGGGACAAGGCTCTTGATGTTGCTCATGGGAACACACCAGGCGACACAGAAGTCCTCTCGCACAACTCTGGCAGCGGTCATTTTAATTTCAATTCCGAAAATTGAAAAAATCAAGATATGTGGTAGGAGTCCACGTCTCCGTTTTCGTGGAATAATTTCACGATCAGATATGCTGCGTTTATATTCCAATACCAACAGGGTAGTTAGTGACAGCAGAGCATTATCATCTCGTAAACACCCAAAACACGACCTATCTACGATACTTTTCATGAACAAGATAACACCGCAGCAAAGAAAACCTGAGATCACCCTTCGCGGGACTGTCCGCAACCCGAAAAAGTGGTATGTTTGAAGGAAATACATGTTCCGTTCGTGGCAGAAAAGAAACGTTTTCGTTGGTGTTTTGGCTTCGAATACAACAGGTTGTTCTCTTCTGAGGACGTTAGTTGCCACACTCCAAGCGATGCCACGGACGTGACCGTTCTTGGGTCAGTTGAGCGTCTCATCGATCCGTTGGTGTTGGTGTTTGCGCGAAATCGCTAAGTCTTGTGCGAAATACCGTTGACGCCCAGAGAGATGCGAGGTCGCCCACTCGAACACAGCCACCATTTTGGCGCAAGGAACAACCGTCGCTGAACGGATCCATGGGCCGGACCAACACCCGCTCTGCTTGCAACGCTCCCAACACGCCCTCCAACGCTGGTAGTGGGTCATCATCTGATGAACAGACCAAGTCGTCTGAGCTTCGCCGCGGACCAACCCCCGCTCTGCTTGCAACGCTCCCAACACACCCTCCAACGCTGGTAGCGGGTGATCATCTGATGAACAGACCAAGTCGTCTGAGCTTCGCCGCGGGATAATCCGGGTAATCCCGCGGCGAAGGTCAGACGACTTGGTCTGTTCATCAGATGATCACCCGCTACCAGCGTTGGAGGGTGTGTTGGGAGCGTTGCAAGCAGAGCGGCGGTCATCCCGCGGCGAAGCTCAGACGACTTGGTCTGTTCATCAGATGATGTCCCACAACCAGCGTTGGAGGGCGTGTTGGGAGCGTTGCAAGCAGAGCGGGTGTTGGTCCGGCCCATGGATCCGTTCAGCGACGGTTGTTCCTTGCGCCAAAATGGGGGCTGTGGTCGAGTGGGCGACCTCGCATCGCTGGGCGTCAACGGTATTTCGCGCAAAGAACGATTTCGCGAATTCTTTTAACATCTACTGTAAACTTGTCAGGTCTCTGTTAGTGTTTTTCAACTTGAGTCACCCCCGGGAGTGTATGTACCTACCTCCCGAGGGAAACCTTGTACGTACGTACACACACATACATACATACATACATACATACATACATACATACATACATACATACATACATACATACATACATTTTAGCATCTAGCTTGGTCTGGGTGCGTTTCGCAGCAGCCGCGCTCTCGTGAATCAATTTTTTTTTCGGCATGCACGTTTAAACCGATTCCTGCCGTTCTGCCGGCTCCCGCACGGGATAGAATGTGGCGGGCACGGCCCGAGAGCCTCGCGCCACGCGGCGCGCTGTGTCGGGAGCTGCTGGCGTTGGAAAGTCGCTGGAATGGAAATATGGCGGTTCCGGTCGGTTCGTTTTTTTTTTTTTCTCGTCTAGGTCACAACCAGCTGTGACCGTAAGTTGACTAGAGCATCTGGCAGCGGCAGCAGCAGTCTCCACCTCCCGCAACTCTCGGACGGGAATGATGTACGCACAGCGCGCCCCGTGCGTAGCGCGCCCGCTGTGTGCACTGCTGTGAGCCATGGCAGCAACTACCCGCACGGACAAGGAAACTTTTCGTCCCCGAGAAAATAATACGAGGTATACAATAGCTTTTTCTTCTTTCGGATCCGATGTGTTTTTTTCGGGAACGAATTTGAACTCTCACGTGTTTGCGAATCGGTACCACTGCTGTATGTATCTAGCTTACCCCCTGCACAGAAAAAAACATATTTCTATTTCTCATTCGTATGTCTACCTTTTGTACATGCATCAACTTGCGAGATGGTACACAAGTACTCACAGCCACTGCTTGTAACAGCAGTGCTGCTGCTGTGTAGAGCCAAGCGGGGAAACAGCTCTTCCAAAGTTGGGCGAAACGAACAAGCAACCAGCTTGCTGGATTCTGAGGCCGTCTGCCTGATGTTGTGCTGCTGCTGCTGCTGCAGTCATTGCTGTAATCCTTCACGGCCTTAGCATCAACCAGAGTCGCACACAGAGCAGGCACATTTGAAACACGCACAAACAGAATCGCCGTTTCGTGCGGAAGTTGTATGCCCCGGGATCACCGCTGTGCAACCAACCGGTGTGATGACGCATTTCTTTCGATATCAAATGGCGAACTTCTTCGAACCTGATCTATATTTCTCTCGCCCTTCCACCGTAGGAGGACGTGTTGCACGACAGCAGTATCTATCCGATCCTCGCTTTAGTAGGTGGCCGGTGTGCTAGCGTGAAGTAGTCGTAGCTCTGCATGACGTTGCCAAGTAACATCGCATAGATACCTATTTTCTTGCGCATGTACATTTGTAGAGCCTGGCAAGCAGCGTGAAGAGCGTCGGAGAGGGTAAATAGTTCTGCCAGCATGGACAGGGACGACCTGAAGCGGGAGGCGTTGGCAATGGCCGAACGAGCGAGGCAAGCAACAAACGAACACATACCCGCCCACCACGTGGGCAGGTCCACAACCGCGCAGACCCGGGGCCCTGTCTGATCAACTACCGACCCCCAACCCCCCCCCCTCAGGTTCACGACCGCGCAGACCCGGGCCCCCGGCCAATCAACTACCAGTTCCTTAACCGCAGGCTACTCTGGGATCACTGGGCCAAGATGGCCTACGTCGTGGCCCCTCTCATAAACTGGGGCTCCGTGAGGAGGGCAGTGTCGGGGGGGGCGGGACGCTTGAGAAGAGAAGCCCGCGCGCTCGGCATATTTGGGGGCAGCAGCGGCGGCTCCGGCAGGGTGTCGGCAAGAGGGCTGGGGGCGGATGCTGCTCCTGCTACGGAAGCAGCGGCGGCGGAGTTGGTGCTCACGGCGTGCGCGGAATGTGGAGCCAACCCGGCGAAGGTGACTATATTCTAGGCTGTGTGTCCCCTCTCGCCCCCGTTGTTTGGCCACCATTAAGAAAAGCAGTAATCCCTGCGGGTCTCCAACGTTGCTGGTGCGTGGGTTTTGCATGCCGTAGTAATAGGTCAATCGGGCCTTTTGCTGGGTACAGCGGCAGCTCGTTCTATTAACGAGCGAGCCTTCGCGCCTTGCAGCACATGAAGGACTAGTGTAAGAGTTGGCGTTGTATGCTCTCTTGTGTACGCATACACCTCGGGAAGGGTAAGGGTACGACTACCTGCCGTATACGACACAAGATGACAGAACCCCTCGACCAATTTTCACAGCTCGTTTTATCGACAGCAGAAAGAGTCGCAGCGCCGAAAACGGCGGCGTTGAAGCCGTGTGGTCGAGAGCCTTCCGAAAACGTACGTTTCGTTTAGGAGTCCTCTTCGTCGTGGAGTAATCAAGCTTTGAAAATCGGTCCAGGGGGGGTGTTATCTTGTGTCGTTTACGGTACCCCCCCCGACGAAGCTGTCTCCACGCGAGAGGCATGAACCAGATGGCGTACATTACCACCCCCACAGAAGATTCCACGACCCCCACAATGCGCCACACAGCGTGATACACTTATTTCGGTAGGGTACAGTTGGCGGCGTGTGGTGTCCTGCGTCATTTGCGGTGTTGCGTACCTGAGTAGGGCCAGCGTGAGGTCTAGAACCGATCCGTCTTTCGAAAGTTGAGCTACAGTTCAGGGTCATTCATATCAAGGAGATGGAGGTGACCATTGGCGTGGGGCCACGTCAACGGTCACCTCTCCCCCATCTCTTTGATGCGAATGACCCTTAATTGTAGCTCAGCTTTCGAAAGATGCGCGTCAACAGTCACCTCCCCTCCATCTCCTTGATTTCGAAAGACGGAAGCTCAACAAAATTGTTTTGGTCAGAATCAGGTGAACGTTGTTGGCAGTAGCTTGCTTTGTTTGGCCCAATTCCGCAAAGTCGAGTTGAGCGTGTCCACCTCATTTTCGGGCGGTTTTGTAGCTCGATGTTGGACCCACACGTGTGGCAACCTCTTTAGTGAATCATTTCTCTCCAACCGTTTCGAAGTGCTTGATCCATGCTGATGTGTTGTAAGCTGACTGTCTCGTCGACTGCAAATAGCGACCAGATGTCTTCGGCCCTCGTCGATACATCGCTGCCTTCTCTCTCTCTCTCTCTCTCTCCCTCTCTCTTCCGCCCCATTCGCACGCACGGAGCCCCTTGGCTTGAAGCCATGCTATTCATGTCTGCCACCCCAGCTCGGTTGCTCCTGACCCATCGATATCCCACATAAACCTCCCCGACCCCTCCCGGCTGTCGATCGCTGCCCGGCGTTAACCTCGGCTTGTTTCACAGACTCCTTACGTGACGGGGTGCGGCCACGTGTTCTGCTACTACTGCGCGAGGGTGGCTTGCACGGTGGACCCCCGATACACCTGTCCGCGCTGCGGGGAGTACTTCGCCACGTCCCGTCGATGGTCCCAGCCGCGGTGACCCCGCACGGGCAGTAGAGGTCCCTGTTTAGTGCCGGTGATTAGTGCCGGTGCCCGGTATAGTGCCGATGCTTTAGGCGGGCGCGCACTGAATTTTCAACAGCCATTCTCAATACTTTGAATAGTGTTGGTTTGGTACAGTGCCCGTGAATTTTCTTGGCGAATACCGACACTGCACTCCCCTTGCACAAGGCGTTGTTGGATGGCGGGGACGTTTTCGCGCCCACTTGATTGCTTGTGTAGGCAGGCCTTGTTGCGTTTGCGGCTGTATACGATCTTAGGCCAAGCATGCGGTCTCGTCTTTAGCCGTGTTTATCTGTGTTTTACTTATGAGTCGGTCGCGGACTGACTATTTTTTCCACCTTGGAGGTGATTTTTGTGGTGTGCTTGGTTGCCCAATATGTTGTCCCAGAATGTATTTATTTATCGTGTCGGTGGGGGTGTCGAGTGTTGTGATCGCGGCAGGGAAACGAGAGTGTCTCTCTCAGCCCCTCATCATAGGTGAGTCGTTCGTGTTCGTAAATATGTTTGGCGCTTGGCGCTGTTCGCCGGCTCTCTGCATCAGTATGTCGAACGACCAGCCAACACCCTAGACTAGGCACACCATCGAATATCTACTTGCGTGCATCGGCTGAGACACGCTCACATCGCTTGTTGTTTCATCCATGGCGAGTTTGTGAACGTCGTCCACATCCCTCCGCAGTAGACCCTTGTGGCCGGCGTGCCTGACAACAGTATGGCCGCCCCGCCCCCGTCACAACCACGTTCAGCCCCCGTCACAACCACGTTCAGGACACCATTTCGTGCAGGGCCTTGTTTGAAGCTCAAAGGGGGGGGGGGGGGGGGGGGGGGGGGCCCCCAAAAAAAACTTTTCTTTTTTTCGAAAAAAAAATTTTTTGGGGCGGGTGTTTTTCCTAAAAAAAAAACCCTCCAAAAACCCGGGGGGGTTTAACCCAAAAAGGGCCGGGGGGGGGGAAATTTTGGGGGGGAACCCCCCCCCCTGCAAAATATTTTAAAAAAACCGGGGCCCCCCCCCCCCCCCCTTTCCCCCCCCCTTTTTTAACGCAAAAAAAAAAGGGGAAGAAACGGGGGGTTTTG